CTAAAGTAGTATGAGGAGGCTGGGCTCAGAGAACAGAACAAATTGTTTTGGGAGTCGCTTGAACATAAACAATGTCGGTTCTCCAGGCTCCTCCAAACCATATGAAGCTAGTACTTTGGGGCTGCAGATTTCTCCAAGGTACTTGCTGATGGAAAGCATTGCATACAGAGTTTTCAATGTGCTCCAGCCAAAACAAGACTTTAGATGTTTGAAAACTGTGCAAAACAATGTATCACTTCTGTAGATCTCTTGCTTAGGTTTGCTGATCATCAGTATAACCTGGGCAACTTTTAATCTAGCAAATGTGATTTTTATACATAACCTTTTTTTTAATGTCACAGATTTATCTGAAGACATTACAGAGGTTTGAATGAATATTCATGTTGTTCCACTTGAAGTGGATATATACTGAAGGGTAATAATCAATGAATATTTGGGTGGAAATCAACAATACTTCATGGGAAAACACACACTGTCCTCTAAGAAAGATAAATCTACTAATGTTGTAAGGCCAAAACAAAAACCATGGCAAACGATGATAGATTTCATGGTAGTCTATTTTCAGTATAAGTAACTGTTAGACAAGTCAGTGCCCTTCTCATCTCAGGTACATTTCTGTTCTACTAACACAGCCCTTTTAATCCAAAAATCTTGCCTTAGATGCATTCAGAAGGCACTGAGTGGGATTAAAAGAGCAAGAACAGCGCCTTGTGTAACAGCCTTCTGATAAAAGAATGCTTTGCCCCCTTACCCTCCTGCTGGGAAAATACTTAAAACCAGGAAAAAAGCAAGATCAGTGGAAGTCTTCGAATCCCATTTTCACCATGGTGCTTACATACAGCCTCAACTTGAGGTTGACCGAGGTTGAGGAGACTCCATGCAGTTTCAGGCCTTTTTTCTCTCCCCTCCCGCCAGTTTTTTCCCAGTTCAGTTGCCCCAGAACTTGGCACAGTGGATGTAACAACCCTCCATCTCATGGATATGGCCAGCACACAAATGCTGAGCTCAGCCCTCTGATACCTGCTGCTCGATGATGCAGCATAGTGCCGGGGCACATGGACCCCATCCACCCTGTGTGCCCACACTCCTCCTCCCCTTACAGGCCCCAGAGCATCAGATAACGCAGGGCTGGAAGGAATGGCACACTTTGTATGAGCTATAGCTGAAACACATCAAGTGCCTGAATATCGATGGCAGGTGAATACTGAGGCAGGTTCACAGCCCTCAAAGCTGAGGAGGAACCAGGTGTGCTGTCAAGAGGCCGACTGACCCTGAGCCATGCAGATGCACCAGGAGGAAGAAGCAAGTGACAGCAGTGGGCAACACACCATCTGCCAACCCGACCTGTTGTCTAGAGAAGTTTGCTGCTTGCCAACTGAGAGCTTACGGGTAAGGATTAAAGAGAAGATCAATAAGGGTGACAAGGTAGTGAGTGTCTGCTATGGGCCCCCCGACCAGGAAGAACAAGTGGATGAGGTCTTCTATGGACAGCTAGAAGCAGCCCCCCATTTACGGGCCCTGGTCCTCATGGGGGACTTCAACCATTTCAACCTCAGCCATTCTGTGAATTTACCTCTTCCCTTGAAGCCAGATAACCAAAACTGATATTCCACTGGTCCCTCGATCATAGTATCATAGGGATCATACAGTCCCTACGATACTAATACCCTGCAGCTTTATGACTGCCAAACACGTGAAAGTTTGGGTTATCTGCTGCCATTGGTTTTTCTTAAGAGGTTTTGAAAATAGGCACTGTCTATTTTTGCAATTTATCAGTGAGATGACAGAGTAACGCTTCGTACTTTTAAGATCTTGAATTCATCAAGTGTTCTGTGATCATTTTAGAAGCACTAAGGAAGCCCCACAGGCAACTGGCCAGCCTGTCCTATAAAACTTCAGCTAGAACTCACCACTGCTCATGCTGCAAGGACAAGTACTACTAGCGTTACAGTGGTATAACATCGCAAAAACACTTCAATTAAAATTTAAAAATCCAATCCCCTTCAGAAATAGGCATGCTTATCTTCATAAACTAGTTCATGTACAAGAAATGAACAGTTTCTGTAGAAGTTCCTTTTATTTTGCAAAAAATTTATTACTCACTGTTGTACAAAATATACCTAAAACGTGATGTTAAGATAATGTTGACACAACTAGATAGTTTGCAAATTATCTAGTTGAAGAGAACAAATCTTCACAATTTTTAAGATGATTCAAGACAGTAACAACGAGTGAATTAAACATTTTGAAATATTTCATTTGTAAGTTTAAACAAATGTTATTTGGCACTTAGTATTTGTAAACCTTAATGCTTTATACAAAGTTCTCATTCACAAGGTTAGAAGATACAATGAAAATAATGTTTTACAGTTCATTTTTTAAATCATCTCAATTACCTTTCTACTCTGGGTTTTACAGAAATAGGTAGTTCAGTTCAGAAATTTAATTTTTAAAAAAGACAAACGAGTAGAAGTGATTCCAAATTTGTGCTTTGTTTAAAAATGGACAAAAAATGCAGGTAACTAATTATCTGTTTGTTGAAATGTAAAAGAAAAAAAATTAAATTTTTTAAAGGTAAATTAGACTAGAAAACATTATTTTGATTTCAGTAAGTTATTATTTTAGCTCCAGAGTGGAAAGTTGGCAACCATCTACTTAAAAAGTCAGCGCCAATTCAATTAAAGCTCATACAAGTTTGGTCTGTTCTTTTAGAACAGTACTACTATTGTATTTCATGAGGAAAGAAACCGTATTTCCAGACGTTTCTCTACACCACCCCCCCAAGTAGTTTTCAAAAGAGTGCATTGTTATTTATCCTAGGTCCTTCTGAACTACACGATCTTTATATAATTTAAAAATAAAAAACACCAAACATTAAAAGGGGGGGGGGAGGGGGGAAGACATTAACATTACCTTAAAAAGTGTATAGCCAATAACTAAAGATAAAGATGCAAGACACAAAGAAGCAAGCACTAGGGGACAGATCTTCACCTGGCATAAAGTCAGCATAGCTCCACTGGCATCAGCAGAGCTATCCCGACTTACATCAGCCACAGATCTGCCTATCCATGTACAGCAAAACTCATTTATGCTAGCGATAAAGAAGAGTAGTGTTCAGAAGAGTAGTGTTAGCATGCGTTTTTTAAATAAAGTAAGTTTGTAGCACCTTGGTTCTTCTCATCTAGTATTTTGCTGCTGGTGACTGTCACTCTTACCACTGGCAGTGTATCTAGTTCAGGATGAATTCATCACCACTTTCAAATGACAGACTAAAATACATTTAAGATTGGTCTATGAAGTTATTAACCACAGCTAGTTCTTACCAGAAATAGTCTGAAGCCCATTTACAGTGTGAAACAGAAGGTTTTAAAAATACTATTTTATAACTTTTTTAAGTTTTTATACTGTTATGGGTTTTCACTGACCATAATCTGTGTGGAATGAACTGCAACCACTGGAAGTCATCAGCAGCTGTGTACTGAAACTTAGAGCAGCATGACTCTGTTGTTACTAGTACTTCCTTTTACAGATTATTAGCTATAGTAAATCTTAAAAAAGATCTCCCTAAGGCATATGTTTACAGAGCAAATCCTAAAAGCAGAATTATAGCAACAGAAATAAGTAATTGCACAAGTTTCTCTTTCTCATAGGCAGGAAGATCTTCTTTTAAGGCACAGGAGAATTCCTGGAGTGCAGAGGACAGATTACTTAACCAGGAGTGCAAATATTAAAAACATATAAAACCCGGGAAGCAGAGGCTGAATTCCAGAAATAGCTTATGGCAGCATTCAGGTCTCGCTACTGTCATCTGCCAAAGGTATTTCAGACTTTTGTGTATATATATAGTGTATATGTACGCTTAATCTAGTAAAATAACAAATGGGACTCAGATGATTTCTGCCAGAGATCCGTGTAAATGCTTACCTCTACAACCACCACATAATACACTCAAAAAAGAGAGTTTATCCCAGTGTATTTTGCATCTCAAATAAAGCTATTTTTAAAACACATTATTAATGCAGTGTACACTCAATCCATTTGAGCTGTATCTTCTGTCAAGTTCTACTTACAGAAAGACAGTTTAATGAAGTCTGTAACAAGGCAAGTAAGAAAGGTAGTGGTAGCTACACTGGACAAAACTCTTGGCAATGTTCATTTCTGCAATGATCCTATGTTAAAACTCACAAGAAACTGAGGTACAAAATTATGTCAAGTAAACATGAGATTTGTCTTGCATTCATTTGAAGTACAATAGTTACCCCTATTTCCTGATTTTTTTTTTAATCTTTTATTTCCTTTATTAAAAGAAAAATATATACTCGCATACAATGCTGATACCCTATGTGGTGATGCCATAAATCCCTTAGGATAGCAAGTTTGATGGGTGGTAACCCATTAGGAGAAAAATATATTTTTGAATGTTATTTTACATATATACAATATATATATATTTAATTTTCAATCAAAATATAAAGTTTTCTAATGTATTCATCAGTATTTTTAATGTCAAAAATGAAAAAGTGTTTTGTATCTCAGTTTGTATAAGTTAAAAATTAACAAGGTACTTGATAACCACAGTAATGGTTTTTTGTTTTATTTCTACAGAATTAAAAGAAAACAAAGAAACAGTGAGTTAAAAAGCTTTCCTTCTCCAAAGCCAAATACAATAAAATTTTGAAGCTGACTAATTAATTAAAATGACAACACCAAGTTTTGCATTTTAAGTAATCACAAAGAATAGGAAATATAATCTAAGTAGAAACTAGCATTACTATATTAACATAAAGAAAAAATATTTTGAACCCCTTATTTTTGATGGAAAGTGTCTAGCAGAGATTAAAAAAAAAGTTGTAAATTTGAAGTAAGAGTTAGTTACACTCTCACCAGTCTATATTTATTTTGATAAACCTCTCCCCCCCCCTCAATTCCAAAATACCTAATATCACAAAAGTATGACAGCCACTTATTTACAGTTTTTTTCAGCACTGTGAAAGGCACATTTATCTTTTTACACATGTTTCTGCTAATGTCCTAAACTTGGGTTCCAGCTGATCTAAGAAGTCAAGTGCCTCTTCTTCATGCTGATCACTGCAGCAGCCTACAGAGCCAGCCAAGGATCCTTTTCCTTCATAGTTATATGAAAGGAGATAATCTTCAGAATGCTTCTGTTCTTCATCCTGTCTGCATAGGTGCACCTTCTGCATAGGAAGAGAACGCACCTTATTATTTTCTTAAATTGTTATCCTAAACATATTGCATAAAAATAATTTCTTTTGATTTACCTTTCATTGATTAATTTTTAATCAGAGTGTGTCCTCTAATGGATTCCTACATACAAAAAACGCACATGATTGGTCTATATCATTAAGACTACAAAATATAAGTATTTAGTAAAGAAATCATTTCCACTAATCATGTATGTAACAATAAAAGAGGAAGAACCTGTTTAAATAACCTGTCAAGCAACTAAAATCCACTCGAAATTAAAAGACTGATTTACACATAACTAGTTAGGCAAGTAGTGAGAGTTTTTGATCTCCAAAGCATGGAATAACTACATTTCTAATGCTGTACGTTCATTCCTGCACCATTGCTAAGGTAAGTATCAAGTTTAAATTAGTACAAAGCAAGCAGTTAGAATAAAAGCAAACAGACGTTCTCAGAAAAACTCACAAAAGCTTGAGTAATTATTCTAAATTAGTAAATATTCTAAATGAAAAATAGCATACTGTCTATAGTTTAAGCCAAGAAAAGAAAGTCATTTACACTTCTGTCTAAAGCATGTAAAGGATGACTTTTTGAAAGGGCAATATTCCAAAGGGGATGCAGGGGAGCAAAGGAGAGGAAAAATGAAACAAACCAAAAACAGAAAGCCACCTTTCTAGCACAGGTACATGTCTTCCTTGAAAAGTCTGTATATATTGACCAGAACCTACAGTCCAAAAAAAAAAAAAACCAGTTTCAGAATACTTACTTCACCTAAACGAGGATGTGTGAAATTATGCCACTCCGAGTAGGAGTATCTACACGTATCCATCATAGGCTGTCCTCCTCCTTCTTTAACTGATCCCAGAGTCTGATGTCCGCCTCCCTTGACTGATTCCAAGGTATGCCCTCTTCCTTTTACCATTTCAAATGTTTGTTGATCTCCTGTTTTTATTCCATATCCTCCTTGATCATTTGTATTTTGTAGAGGAATTACATTGTGATCCTAAAAAAAGATACAGTAGTGGAGATACCTTTTTTTTTTTTTTTCCTTTTTTTTAATTCAAAAGATGAAACGGTGTCATGGTTTAACCTCAGTTGGCAACTGAGCACCACGCAGCCGCTCGCTCACTCCCCCCGCAGTGGGATGGGGGAGAGAATTGGAAGGGTAAAAGTGAGAAAACTCATGGGTTGAGATAAAGACAGTTTAATAGGTAAAGCAAAAGCCGCGCACGCAAGCAAAGCAAAACCAGGAATTCATTCACTACTTCCCATGGGCAGGCAGGTGTTCAGCCATCTCCAGGAAAGCAGGGCTCCATCATGCTTAACGGTTACTTGGGAAGACAAACGCCATCACTCCAAACGTCCCCCCCTTCCTTCTTCTTCCCCCAGCTTTATATACTGAGCATGACGTCACATGGTATGGAATATCCCATTGGCCAGTTTGGGTCAGCCGTCCTGGCTGTGCCCCCTCCCAGCTTCTTGTGCACCCCCAGCCTTCTCAGTTGGTAGAGCACGAGAAACTGAAAAGTCCTTGACTAGTTGGTTCCCTGACCGGGAATCGAACCCAGGCCGCGGCGGTGAGAGCACCGAATCCTAACCACTAGACCACCAGGGATTAACTGGTGGTTAATTAACTCTATCCCTGCCGAAACCAGGATAAACGGCAATCAGGTACTGTCGATACTGAAAACTGAAAAGTCTCCAGCTTTGCACTGCGACATGTTGAGCAAAAAGCTATCCTTAGTACTTAGTGTATAAATATCAATAAATGGTCTTTGGAAAGGGTACTATGACAAGGGGAAAAAAAAATAAATCCGCATTTAAATATATGAGATCCAAAACCTGAATCTTTATCCCAATGAAAGCTGTACTATAATCCATAAGCTAGTTTCTTAAATTATCATGTAAAAATAATGTTTGGTTTTCAAAGTCAGCAACCTGGAACCCATTAAGCCAGACACATAGTCATATGCATAATTTCAATTCTCCTTCCTCACACATGAAGTCTGTATAATAAGTGAAATATGGAAAAACTAGTATGGAATCACAAATTAAAAACTACATTATCAGTTTATAATGGCACTACATTATGCTTCATAGGCAATGAGAAATTTGACACTTGTCACCATTAGGATTTCCTGGTTTTCAATGTGAAGTAAACTCAATGGTTTTTAAACTAATCTCCTTTTCTTGGGGAGGGCAAAGTCAGGGGGTGGGGGACAGAGGAGAAGGGGAAGAGTCTGAAGAGCTAAGTCCTTGTGTATGAACACAGTCCTGGGCTGGACTATGTTCATGGTAGACTGAATCTTAAAAAGGTTTAAATGCCAAAAGCAAGAACATATTTCATGAACATGGACTGTTCAATTATGTTTTTTCCACTGGCTCAAAAATCAACTGTATTTGGGGCCATTTTTCAGAGGAACGGCAGAAATTGCACCGTTAATTTACAATGACTATCTGCTAAATTTAAAAATCCTTTTCCAAGGAAAAGCAATAATGTTTTGCCATAAACACACATTCAACATAGGCAAAATAGTAAATTTCCGTCTAATCTCATTGTTGAAAATGACTGAAGTGATTAAAATGTTCACCTGAAAGTTCCAACCAAACAGTTAAAGTCTGGAAGAATTATAAGCAGCCAGGCTAACAACTATAGGATATGTTTAAATATATATGGTACTACCAACTCTGTCTAAACTAAGAATTTTCAAATTCTTGTTAAATAGCAAAGCACATCTAATGATCCCTGTGTCTATTTCTTATTTCCTTTACTAAATCACTTATTTGCAGGTGGTCCTGTTCTCAAACTGAAATGCTATGGATATCTTAATTACATGTTTCTACATTGAAGTAAATAGACAACTTACCATCACTTCTTCTCCCGGAGCTTCCGTATTTGAAATGATTAAATTGTGATTGGCACAGTCATCAGTCACATGCCTGTGCATTACCCCAGAGCCACAGCAGCCACAAATTGTGATCAGGATTACTACGGAAAGGAAATAAGTGAGGAAGATACTATGAACTTTACCTCGTAATGGCATCTACTTCTGTTTGATAATGAATTTTGTTGTATTAGCCTTTTTAAATGCCTAAGCATCGAGTATGGTTTTAAAAAATAATTTCCAAAAATGCCCATACTCAAAACTGTACATATATACATTTTTTCGAACAGTATATGGAGTTTTCACTACACAGTTGAACTATTTCATTCTTCTAAAATACATCTTGGTTTCCCCAAAACAAATGGAAGCATCCTTCATGAAAACACTGTGACGGCAAAATTTCACAGTAATAAAAAATTTAGACCAAATCCAGGTGAAAAATCATGTCTTATGCTTACAACAAGGTTTTACGTAAGAATTTTTCATGTATGAATACAAAGATGTCAAATTATATCATAAGGAACTAATATTCAAGCTAAAAGTCCCAATACCAGAAACTTCTGCTTCACAGAAAAGGTCAGCAGAACCCTGGAGGACTTCAAGCACTATGTTACAGAACAATTTTATTTAATTCCTTGTATTCAGCTTATTCCTCCTATAATACTACTTCATGCTGTCATGGAGACTCAGCCAGAAATGACTTCGTATAAAAGAATCATGAGCAACTAATACCTCTCCTAAACAAAGGACTTAACGTTTAATTCAGAGAACAACTCTTTCCTTCTCAAGTTGATAGCTTAAAAATAAAGAAGCCCACAAGGAACAGAACAGTTCTGCCTAACTGCCCACTGAGCAATCTGACCTCTGAACATATATAACTTCTGTGGAAAATGGCCAAGAGCCACTTTCAAGCTCATTTAGCTTCTGCAGCTATCAGCTGTCAGCGAGATCTGCATCAGTGGTTCTGGTGGGTCACATCCTGATGCTGACAGATGGGAAGAAGGCATCCATGACAGCACTGAGTAGAGGACACACAGGGTAAAACCTAGCCACAATAAAATAATGGGTCTATCTGGGAGGGGTGCAGTCAACGGGTAGTGACAAAAAGCTAGGCGACGTTTCACACAGTCCCCCCATCTGAAAGTTCCACCTCCGGGCTGTATCATGAATTTGGGTACCTGCTCTGTTTAGATAAAACATAGATCTATCTAACCTTCAGAACACGTGCAGGTCCCAGTATTCTATCTACCTGAGTAAGAACACCTAGCTGAGACTGAACAGGGGCAAGACAGGTAGATGACTACCAGAAAAAATGGAAAAGAAAGAAGAAAAGAAAGAAAAAAAAAACCAAACTCTGAAGTGTTTGTTACTGTAGCATGTCCTCTGGTAATTTTTAAAGATGTTATTAGTCAGACTATGTCTGATTCTGGTCAAAAAATGACCTGGCTTTGCTATTACATATCACTGTCACCACCTCACTGGTTAACAGCAACATTAACCTGCTAAGAATCTGTCAGTCTTTTGGCAACTCCAGTAACACAACATGTATTCAACAGTTTGGTCTGTTGCGGAAGTATCCAACCTGTCCTTCAACACTACACTGGCTCTTCTAAAATCCCGTGTCTCAGATACTCCACGTTTTAATCCATGACACAAGGAAGGTCACAAAAAGCTCTAGGAAATTGATTTCAGCATTCCTACGAACAGAAGCGTGCATCCCAAAACCAGGACTAAACTCACAAACGAACTTTGCTATACTCGCCTCAGGACAAGACCTGACAAGCACTACAAATCCCATCCTCTTTCGGTTCAAGCGCTGAATGCAGGTTTTTTGGCCTTGCTAACGTGAACACACAGAACATCTTACATAAAATGTACTTAAAGAATAAAAAAAAAATCCACACACAGTAACTACAGGACAAGATGAGAGCAAGAATCCTGTGATACCAATACAAATACAGCAGGTACATTAAGTCAGTGATGAGGGTTATACAACTGCCTAAGTAAAAAAAGAAATGTTTGAATCAAGTTTGAAAAAGGTTCTCTCAGCAAAGTTTAAAATTAAGTGTTTTGCACTTCATATTAAAAAAACATGTGTACTTACACAGCAATAATAGTGATCCTAAGATCATTGCAAGGATGGCCCATACGCCAAGAGTAACATTTCCGTTAGAATAGCTACGGGGGCCGCCATCACATTCAGTTGGAGTAACGCAATCACAGAGGTTCACTTTAACAAGGTTCTCTCCCACCTTTCCTCCGTTGTCAATTACACTTACAGGAATATTGTATATTCCAAATGGAGTATCACCCTTTGGTGAAAGATACACAGAATTATCTGTAAAAAAAGACAAAACCAGATCTAGTGTTAACAATACCTGAAACTCTGTTGTCACAAACACGACCATAATCACAATCTTCCCTTGTGTTACAGCTATACTGCTACCAGATCTGCATTAGCTAGTTTAAGGCTAGCTTAAATGTGTTGACACAAAACTACATCTTGGAAGGATTTATATTTTCAGCACCTTTTAAATGTTAGAACTGAAAAAGCAAACCTTATACAGCCTTCTGACAACATATGATTTGAAAATCTGAAGTTGATTCAGTTCATTATGGTAAATGACACTATTTGGGCTTACTAGTAAAGACCATCAACTGAACTGACATTTATTAAAAGGACTTCTGGTAGTGTGATTGGAATAATTAATCATAAACTTAATTTATACCTCTTCCACTCTTTAGCTCTATTGCTATATTCAGTGGGAATGGCTATATCCAGTGGGAAGTAAAATCCATTTAGTCTGCTGCACCGCTTAGTGGCAATGATTAGTGACCACATGTTTTAAAGGGTGAAAGACATCATTTGTAAAAAATATGTACAAGATAGATACTGATGTACATAATGGTTGCTTTACAATGAGGTATATGAAACTACACGTACCATCTCAAATGTTTTTTTTCAATTTGCCTAATATAAACCTTGAAACTCTTAGATGTCTTTGCTCTCAGACTTTGCTTTGTTTTGCCTTTCATCAGTGAATGTTTGTCTGAACACTTCAGAATCAGACCCTTTTCAGGCTAATTCATGACAACATAGTAGCAAATGTATGTCCTGCTCTTGTTGCCATCATCTGGCACCCCCCAGGGAAACCACCATCGGCTAGAACTTTTTATATCAGCAAATTTTAGGAAGCAGTGATTCCTTTGGTAATAAATTGTTTATCTACTTCTATCAAAATTATAAAAGTTAACACAAATATATTAAGGGTAATGTTCTCTTTCACCCAGCTCAGCTTTACCAAAAATGTGCTGGCTGACGGCAGTACTAAGAGAAAAAAAACTGCCAGGCTTATTTTAGTCAGCCTGTAATCAATTTTAGGTAAAGTTTCAATTTTCCGGTTCTCCACCACAACAGCAGCCTAACAAAAGTTGTATTTTTCTTCGGAGTATTAGCCATTTCATTCTTAAATTCCTTATGAATTATGAATGTATACTTCCTTTTCCAGAGGTGGTGATGCAACACATTACATGTTTTTTTGTTCTCCCACCTAATCTTTTTACATCATAATTTCAGACAGCAGCTGATTGCTGACCCAAGGATGCTGGGACAGATTCTTGTTTATGCTTTAAGAGGCAGAATATAATATCCTTCTCCTTGCCTTTGTGATGCCAACAGTGCCACCTTCTTAACTTCTGCAAACTGTTTCAAACCCAGGACAGTTAAGATAAAGAATACTTTAGCCGTTCCCCTTTATTTCTGGCATACCCTTGACCTCCTGTACAGCAAATGAAACTGAGGAACCGCTAGAGATCATCAAGGCTACCTTGTTAGCCCCACTGACTACACCAATTCCAAACATACATTCATCCAACCTGTTCTTACAGTCCACCCAAGGGAGAGGTAGGAAAGCCTCCTCTGGCAACCTACAGCTCAGTGAGGAGGAGGAAGTCTTCACATACCGTTGTGTCGGGTTATCTTCCACATGGAAGCCAAGCTACGGTCAGTTATGCGATATACAAAGGGTGTGCTGTAAGGAGACTCATCACCATCCTGTGCAGTAAGGCAGATCGGTTTTCTGTCTCTGCACATTATATAGTCGGTTTTAGTGATTCGTGGGTAATTCTTGTTCCCAGGCTGGATGACAACCTGAATTGTTCCAGTGCCTGTTTTGCCATCTGTGAGATAAAAATAACTACTTTTAGCACTTACTTCTAACATTCACATATTTATTTCTAGTCCAAACTTTCACAATGAAATACCATCAACTGTAATATCCAAGTTTAGAAGTAGGGTGGAAAGCAGCTGCTGATCTAGCCAAAAAGAGAGAGGGACTTCTCACAGCTCTCTCTTGGCTGCTTCTCTTTGCTTGGCTGGTTGTACAATGGATTAACAGCTCCCAAAGCTCCATATTCTGCATGTGTAGACAATGTATTTTGTTGAGCACGTGTATCTGTGTGGGGACAGATATTGTTCTAACAAGAGGATGAGAGGAGAAAGAGCCCATAAATCAGAGGTAAAGGACGCTAAGCCAAACTGAGAGTCAAAAGCAGAAAGTGAAGGTCTCCAGCCTTTTTACTTCTGGAAGGAGAAAATAAATTATTTTACCCTCATTTCCCCTGGGAACACGAACACTTTCAGAAACAGTGGGCTTCTTTCTGTCCTCTTCCCTCTGAGTCACCATGCAGTAGCAGGATTCAGCAGTGACACTTACTATGTCACCAAAGTCTACATGCAAGAAGTGAATGAGCTCTCTCTCCTAACTACGTTTTTTCCAATACAGGAATAGTCAATGCTTGTACATGAGTTCCAGTGAAATTACATTAAGTCTACTTTTTTAAATTTTCTCTAGAGATACCTGATTGCAGATGCATATATCATGTTTACTTTATATGCAACAGAAGTTCTAAACAATTTAAATTCATATCATTTACATTTAATTTTAATATGCAAGCTTTGGACAGAGTTAGAATTTTTAGCTGTAAAGCAACTTCCAAAGGTCTGCTCTTTACTCCCACTGATGTTTAAGCATGTAAGGGCTCAAACTAAATTCTGCCATTGGATTTATACAGGCAGTCCATTTTTCCTTTTTAATGTAAGATACATATTTTAGAACTAAAAGTTTGACCTATAAGCCTAACATTTTTCTTAGATAATCCATTTGCTACACTTAGCATTTGGGAAGTGAAAGGTGTATTTAATCTTCTTGGCTAGATGACGTTGAGGCAAAACTATGTCTTTTCCTACAATAAATGCATATACCCAAATTAATCAGAAAGAATAGATGATCACTCACATTAAATCAGAACCAAAACCTGTTTGAGAATCTGAGTGTACAACCCTTCCTTTACAATCAGAATAATTTGTAAGAGCTCGTCACCTGAGCAACACACAGTGTGAACACTGTTACAGACCTTAGATGACTGAGAATAAGAGTAAGAGCGCAATAACATACAGCAATGAATACAGCTATTCTTAGCAGTCCTTTTAAATTAAGGGTTTCCAAAAGCAAGACACCAGGAAGTCAAACAGAGGAGGAAACTGTAAGAGTTGCAAGGTCAACAACTTTTTTTCAAAAAGTTCTCTCTCTCTACTTTCTCTGCTGTCAACTTCACGGCTGCCAGGTGCTACCACTTATAAAAAATAGTCAGGAAATAAAAGGAACACAATCCACAGGAAAATCTCTCAATTTAAACTTAACAAAGGATTTTAAATGGGAGCAGACAATTTTTGAAAACATTGAGAATTCACCCTGATTTCTTAAATGCTTCCCCTGCTGTATAATATTCCCTAAGCATTTGATAGAGCTATCCCAAAGACAAGACAATGGACTACTAGGTGGGCCTCTGGTCTGAACCAGTATAGCTGTCCCCACACTACATTTGCACATAAACATCTGTTATAGACCACAAAGAATACTGACAACATTCAGTACTCACTTCTGTCTATTGCAAGGACTGTGATATTGCATTGACCTTGTCTCATTTCTCCTACATCTCGGTCCAAGACTTTAATGGTTCTGACTTCACCCGATTTTTCATCTATGCTGATCCAATTACATTGGCCAGGTGGTATCCGGTAGCTGTCAAGAATAATTTGTTTGTTTAGTTAAAGATCTCAAATATACATACACAGGTATATGTACATACATACATGTACATACATACATACAGGCATTCATACACACTCAGGTGTGTGCGCACACACACACATACACAGCATCAACAACTATTTCCTCCTTCCCATATCCCACCCATGCTGTACTCCAAATAAACTAGTAGATAACATTGTTTCATACCATATGCCTTCACTATTTCCAGTTTCTGGATCTTCTGCAAGGTACTTCCCAATACTCGTCCCAATCTCCTCGCATTCTTTAACGTCTAGGCGTAAATGACAGGGTTTAAACACCGGCCCCTCATCCACATCCAGGATATGCACTGTAACAGAGCTGGTGCTCTGGGACAGCTGTTGTGAATGTGGTGCCAGCATGTAGGGTGCCTCATTGTTGACCGCAATCACGAGGATCCTTTGCTTGGCGCTTTCGTAGTCCAGTCCCTGTAACAAAGGTGGGGTTTGGGTTTTTTTTCCTTCAAGCCGATACAAAACTTGGCATTGTTTTCACTGCCCAATTATTAAATAGATAAAACTGTACCACTTTTATTTACAAAAGTCGTCAGCTATCCTTCTGGAACATCCAGCTTGAAACACAGTAAAGGGACGTGATTTAAAAAAAAAAAAAAGTTAAAAGTTCTAAGTTAGTCAAAGAAAAGAACCTGAGGAACTACCCCTAATAAGGTACGCAGCACCACTGTAAAATGTTAGATGAATACTCTGATAGTCAATTACTACTAGAACTGAGATAAGAATTAAATGTGGTGGGGGATTTTCTCCTCCTGTATCTAGTTGGCCATTATTTTAGGTTACGTGTATTTCCTTTCCAGCACAAGTCAATCACGCTTCTTGCTAGCACCTACATTTATCTCCTAGTAAGACTTCACCCATTGCAAATACGTCTGAACTTGTGGGGTTGATCAGTAAGTATCTACCATTTATTCTTCAGACAACTTCTCCAAGGTCATCGTATGCCTTTAATAGAGCTATTTATATCCTAGAGTCATAATACTCTGTAGTCCCCTACAGCATTACACTAAATATAAGAAATTTCAGCTGGGTTCATATACCAGGGACACAGCTTTAGAAAAAGCTCTAATGATTACCAGCAACAAAAAACATAATAAAGAAATAAAAAAAAAAATTAACTGGCATCTCTACCCTACGATTTACATCTTCAAATTTTAATATTAATCTTCTCTGCTCCTTAGAAGTTACCTGCTATTGCAGTTTTAACAGATAATGAAAAAGAGGCATGAAGAGGCAAAGGGACATGCTGGAGTACAGGTACAGTGGTCCTTTTACCTCACATCTGTAAAGTACCGGGTATAATAAGTAACTAAACTACACAGTCTTATGTGTATGCAGACTCCCTCACACCCCAGAACAGCAAACCTGAAGTCACTACCCTGCAAAATAAAACCTGGAGACTTCTATGCTGAGTTAGTAAGTTTAATCAACTCCCAGAAAGAACAAGACTGGAGGAGGTGCTCATCTCTCCCCTCCTTTGCCACACTTCATTCCTGTTAAAAACCCAGCTACGAAGCATTCTGCAGTTACATCCCTAAGTCTAAACAACTCCAACTGTGGAACCAGGCAAAAGCACCAAACTCTTCTGGAATGACAAACCAAAGGGAATTCCTTGACGTCTGCACACACAAAACTGAGGAGTAGTCTGGAAGATGAGTTTTACAGGTTATGTACCACACACGAGCCTCATCTGCACTGCATTATGCAATCTGCTCTAGAAGAGAGTTCAGGTCGGGAAGAAAGCATGATTTGCCTGATAGTTAGAGATATTCTTTGAATGAGTTCTAGAATACTGGTTTTAAAAGCAACACCTGAAGACACACAAATTTTCCTCTAGCAGTTCCATTTTTACTTACCTTAACAACACACAGTATTCCTTCATTTGTGTTTTTGTCTGTTGTAATTTCAAAGGACCGATCATCGTTTCCTCTTATAATTTCATACACTGCTCCTGAGCCAGGCGAACCAGGTTCATCAAGATCAACAACAGAGACTCTCAGTATTTCTACATTCACTCTGTTTTCCTCCACTCGCGTTTCATACTTGGAGTATCCAAAAAAAAAACAAAAAAAAAACCCCAACCAATTTAAATCAGAGAATACTGTTCCACGATGCAGGACTAAAGAACACTGTATTTACATAAGACTACTTAAACCCAAGGGGTCAATTTACCAAGCTGCTGTAATGATTTATTTTGTTTTCCTGCATTAGCCTATTTCCCCCACTCCTCCCTTACACCTTAAGTGAAACAGTAAACCTTTTCTGCCAGCACAATTGAAATCTCAGCTCCTTCATACACTCAAACTATCACTGACATAAGTCTGGAATTCTCCTTCCAGGAAAGGTAAATTAGCACAGTGCCCCTCAGTTACATCAGCTATAGATGCTAATTTGAGTACAACATGATCAAGCTGAGCATTAGAAAAGGCATTGGGGTAAATTAAAAAATACATATATAAACAAACCACAAGAACTTGAAGAAAAGCCAAGAAGGGTAAAATACATCTCTCCTTGGATGGCAAAAGATGAAAGGGTTTTTCTTATTTTTTTTATCTTTTTAAAGAGCTGTGTTATTCTGTACAAGTTCAAGAAGCACAGATAAGAGTGATTCTGAATTAATATTACTGGTGATATTCTACAATAGTGAGTGGAAAGGAGAAGATACATGTATTCCTCATGGATAATGAATTATTTTTCATAAATTTCATATTACAAAATCTCCTGAGGTATTTCAGCTGTATACACAGTTATTGAGACATACTGTCTGTCCTGAATAATTCAAATGGCTGCAATAAGCAAAGACTTAAGGCTGAATTATAGCTATTGGTGAACAAGAAGTGGTTTAAATAATACTTCTGTAGAAGAAAAAAAAAGTTGGAAAAGCATAGAAAGTCTTGGTGAAAATCCTTGCATCTACTTCACTGACAGTAACATTTTCATTTGCAACTGTTCATTGCAATGTTAAAGCCTGTAACCCGGTCCAAAGGGACCAGGGGTGGAGACTGTAACGGAAATACCTTTAAATTGCTGTAACCCATGATTTGAGCTGCGTGTCATGTGAATTACTATAGCAGGAACCACCTGAACCAATGGAGGACAAGCCTTACCAGAAGCAGTGCAAGTGCAGCAGTGACCCGACCTGAGCTGGCTTTGGTGCCCAGTAACTCCACGCAACACACCACCTCTTCTGTCCTGAGTGACCACCATAACAGACGGAGCCCGAAGTCATGGGCTAAATGAACTCAATGGACATTTGTGGACATTTGTGGACATTTTACAGACATTTCACAGGGGTGGTCCATAGACTAAAGGAATAATATCTGTGTGTTATATCAAAGGATGGGAATGGGGGTGGTGGGTAATGAGGATGTATTGGATAGCATGGGACCCAAGCATGACGTAAATGGTATGGAATAAGGGGTGGAGAATGTGCTGGTTTTGGCTGGG